GAGCTTTCTACATTCGTTTATCTCAGCTGTTTTGGGTGGCTCTCTGCTTCCAATTGAGTTTATTTCAGACTGTGATTCCGAAAGTATCTCCGCTTTGGTGGATTTCGTATCCAGGGAACATAATTGACTTAGTGCAATCCTAATGACCTCTATTTCTCCTTCAAAGGCGGATCGATTGTGTCCCGCTGCTGCGTAGAAAGAGAAGAGTTCAGAATAGACACCTGCACCAATGTTTGCTTGGTTTTCTTTGTATGACCCATCAGTGAAGAGTGCACCAACGTTGGGAAGAGTTCAGAATAGACACCTGCACCAACGTTTCCTTGGCTTTCCTCAGTGAAGACCTGGAGCCATTGATCTCCAGGATAGTTGACATTGATTGTCTCAAAGGCCAGTGAGCACATTTGTTCTGGAGGGGTGTTTGACTTCCTGAAGTAGTCAAGCAGTTGGGTGCAACACACTACATCCTGAAGAAGTCGAGCAGTTGGGTGCGTGAAGGGGGAGCGCATTTGCTCTGGAGGAGTGTTTGATTTCCTGAAGACCGGAGCGCATTTGCTCTGGAGGGGTGTTTGATTTCCTGAAGACGTCGAGGCATTTGCTCTGGAGTGGTGTTTGATTTCCTGAAGAAGTCACGCAATGGGTGCGACACACTACATCAATGCCTGCTAATGGGTTCATGGGTAGAGAGAGGCTTTTTTTCGTTTGTCGTCGATTTGTAATGCTTGCTTTCTGTATTAGGCCAGATTGCGTTTTCAGATGTCTTGGTCTATTGACATAGGAGCTGAAAAATATATCAATGGGATGCGCAGAAGGTTCTCATACAGGATAAGGCCTTCTCTTTGATAAGAGACCACGTTGTGGTGCTCCCTATAAGCAGGAACATAGCATCAATTGGTGTTGATTTTATCCCTCCAGTAATAAGTTGTAATACTTGATTATGTGCATTCTCGAGTGGTTTGAGAGTCACCTCTGTGGCTGTAATGAGTGGCTCACAGCAATACAACATTATTGGCTGAATAAACATCTTGTAGGTGGTGTTGAGAGTTGAGCGCGCACAGCCCCATATGCTACCAGCAAGACACTTCAGTACATTCAGTCTATTGGAGACTCGTTCTGCTATTTTAGCAAGGTGACTTTTCCACGTTAGCTTTGTGTCAAACGTCATTCCGAGATAAGTGAACTCTTTGATTTTTTCCAGGGTAGTAACCTTGTGACAGGCCAAATAAAATGTTTGGTATGCAGTTTTCGCGGTGTTGATACCCATTCCATTGTTGCCGCACCAGTTTGATAGAAGTTAAAGTGCATAATTTAGGGCACTTTCCGTCCTCTACTGAGTGTTTCTTAGAGGGGGAATACCATAGAACAATATTAACTGCATAAAGTAGGCACTTGATGCCCGTGACTGTCTGTACCGATTCGGCTATGTCATTGATGAAGACATTGAAAAGAATGCAGCTTGTACAGCTCCCTGTGGAAGACCTGTTTGTAAAAGATTGGATTTTGATAGAGAATTTCCATATCTGACTTTACACGATCTTTGTCCAATGAATGCTTTTATCCAGTTTAGCATGTTATGCTTAATACCAACCTTTGCCAATTTTAGAATTAGCTTCTCTTTCCATACTAAGTCATATGCTGATTTGAAATCGACGAAAACAGCCGTAAGGGTATTTCTTGCATCAATGGCATCTTTGATGTGTTAAGAGAAAGTGACTACCTGTTGGTTAGTTGATATTTGCAGCCTTAAACCTGCTTGTTCATTCCTAAGAATATTGTTGGTCTCAAGAAACCAGGTCAACCTATTATTAATCATTCTTTCCATAAGTTTAGCCAAAACGCTTGTGTGGGAGATAGGACTGTAGTTGTCAAAGTTACTAGGGTCTTTGCTCTTTTTTAGTACTGATATTACTATGGCAACTATCCATTGGTTAGGTACGAGACTGGACTCTCAGATTTTGTTGAAAAGCGTCAGCATGGTTACCTTGGCTTTCGGTCCCATTCTAATTAGAAATTCTGGATGAATACCGTCTTCGCCAGGATACTTCTTGCACTTGAGTTGTGTTATCGCAGCATTAAGTTCGCAAGGTCTGAATGGTTCCGTAAGTACATTATTTCTTGTTGCCGTATCTTCCTTAATTTTACCAAACTGTCTTACTTGTATCTTTATATCTCTTGAAGATTTTTTACAAAAGGGTTTTTCTTTTGCTTGTGGGAATAGAACCTCGTTGTTGTTTAATCGTATTGGTTCTTTCTTGGGTCTTTCCTTGTTGTTTTGGAGGTTACCCAGGAATTTGAAAGTGTATTGGCTATTACTTTGTTAGTTGATATTTGAGATGAAGTTTTCGAAGGATGTGCGTTTAGCTTGTAAGATGGCTTGCCTTAGGACACCTGATTGTCGTCTCCAGGCTTGCACGTCTTCCGTTCTTCCAGTCTGATCAGCAGGGTTGCGAAGGGCGTCCCGATTTCTTTTCAGTTCCTCAAGATGTCTAGATCAAAACACTCGATAGTGTTTAGTCTTGCCTCTGGGAATAGTTTTCCTTGCACATCTGATCATAATATTCGTGATATCATTGCTAAGTTTGTCAGGATGTTGGTTGAAGTTGAGGGGACTTGTGTGAAGTTCATTGTCTAAGAGGTTTGTGAATCTAGGCCAGTTAGCCTTCTTGAAGTTCCATGATAGCTTAGTTGGCACTTTCCATGTCATGCTTTTGCTGCCGATGGTAATACTAGCAATGACTGGTTTGTGACCAGATCCAGGATCGTCAATTATTTTGCGGCGTGTATGCTCGCTGATGTCGTCTGAA